CAGGGACTGCAGCCTACGCCGTCGCCAGCGACTCATGGTAGCCCAGCTCCAGGTTGAGCTGTTGTTCAGCATCTTAGCTGTGGAGGGCAGTGTTCACTGGCCCTCATATGTGGGATCCGAACCGGGGCCCTCTGGCATCCCAAGCGAGTTCTTAACCATAGCGCCACTCGGCCGGCCCTAAAAGTATTTTATTTGACCATTTATGGATCTATTTATAAATGGCTGCTTAATACACATTTTTGTGGCATCCTTACAACATTGAGATGGTAGCTAGCTTATAGTCAAGATTAAACATTTAGTAAATAAATATGATTAGAAAATACATAGTATGTTTGGTTCTAAACTATAGGGTGCATGGACGGTTATAGTGAAAGAGTAGATCCCAAAATAGCCTTACTGCTACACAGTGATATATTAATACCAGATTACAGTTCAAAATGTCTTCCAGGACTAGGGTAGAACAATGGCATAATTTTCTTTGTTTATACATTTTCAAATACATCTTTTACACTAAAAGTCAATTTTCCATTTTCAAAGTAAACGTTTGTTCTATAACCAAAAACAACACTTGAAAAATAATATGGAATAAAATTTATCTGGAAAGTCTATAAAACAGATGAGTGATTGCATCTTGGAGAAGAATTGGTTGGTTCAGGGACATAAGTGAGGGCAATGTAATTTTGTTGCCTATGAATTATGCTCAAATTGTGTTTTGCATACTTATGTATACATAAAATTTAATAACTAACTTTATTGTTTTTTTTCTATTTAAAGATTGCTCTCCACTAAGCCTATTTCCTACCTACCTCCACTCCACAAGTCAAAGCATTTTTCATTTCACATTAGTTCTGTGATCACATCTTTTAGGATCATGAGCACAATTACTAAGAAGCTTTAGCCATTAATATCTGTTAATTGTGCCAATAAGCAAAAATGCAAAGTTTGAAACACTTTAACACAATTATGTCTTATTAGAAACAATTTGACTGTATTAAATGTGCCTTTTATGTAAATCTATGCAATTGTCAAGTTAGGAGTTCAGGAGCTAAAATTATAGTCTGCTTTTTCTAAGAAAGGAGCTACAGGGAAGTGTCACAGACATGTGCACTTCAAAAGGAAGCTTACCCCGAAGAACTTGAAGCAAATATTCACACCAAAATGTAATTTTATTATTTTCCAGAAATGCATTTGTAAAATATTATCCTTATTGTTTTTAAACATTTCCCTCTGCTTTTGGATTTGGCAGTCAATATCTGTTAGTCTCTCTTGAATTTTTAATCTGTGGTAAGAGGTAGGACAGAACCCAGACATGTGAACCATGGATCTACCTACAAGGAACACACAGAAAAACAAACTATTTATTCATGAAAGCCAACTTGTTTCACTTAATAATGATAAAGCAGGTAGACAGCACTCCCTAGCAATATTCAGAGGTTACAGTTTTAATATAAACTGCTTGCTTCTCAAATGTTACAAAGGACCATCAAGATCAAAGCTTTTTCAAGACAGTTGTCCAAATTTTAGCCTGTGCTTTATCCTGGAAGTCACCTTTAACTTTGCAAAGGTCAGTTACATCACAAGATCACTGCCAGATAAGACTTGTTGTTAATTCATAAGCTCACTCCTTCACAAGGGTCCTCAGAAATCACATGGGATGTGGTGTGACCACTAGACTGGAAATGCTTCAAAAGTAGGTGCTGCAGCTTGGCCTCCGGGCTCCCCACAGTGCCCACTGTGCTCTCAGTAGACACTCAGCAACAGTCACTAAGTAGCTGACTAATCTGTGGGTAGCTTCCAGAAAAGCCAGTATCTCATTCCCAAAGAACAGAGGAAAGGAAGATTCCAAATCAACTGAAACAGGTTTCTACCTAGGATGCCCTTGATGTGGTAGGAGTCACAGGGTAAACACAAGGCATCAGGGAACTTGAGTGGATCAGCGGATTTGGTGCCCAGACAATCGCATGTCCTGGGGAAATTTATTAGTTGGGAACCTAGCAGAGATTTTAATGTTTGGGAGATTGCATTACCGACAATTAGATGATGCTTTAATTGGTGAAGTAATAAAAAGTTAGAGATGCCCTGATGTGGTAGGAGTCAAGTTAGAGATATGGGTGGAAAGGAGAAATTAGGATCCAGGACCTAGTAATAAGGAAGGAAGAAAGGAAGGGAGGGAGGGAGGAAGAAAGGAAGGAAGTTCCTAATGGAAAATGTAGACTCATTTGGGGTTGTCATAAATAATAGATGCATATTTAATTATATGTTTATGCTATTTCTGATATTTGATATTTTTGAGTTTCTACTATGTGGGAGAAAGATAGGGACTGTTTATACATTTCTTCCTTTAATCTTTACAATAACCTAATAAGAGAGGAAAAGTCACTATTCTCATTTTGTGTAATGGGGAAGCTGAGGCCAAGCAGATGAATAAACTTGTCTAATGTCCCACTGGCAGAACGCCATGGGATTTGGATTTGCAGTTGCCATATTTTCCACTGTAAACATTCATAAGACTCTGTGGCCAAGGAAAGCAACCAGGGCAGGGGTGTGTGTGTGTGTGTGTGTGTGTGTGTGTGTGTGTGTGTGTGTGTGTGTGTGTGTGTGTGNGAGAGAGAGAGAGAGAGAGAGAGAGAGAGAGAGAGAGAGAGAACTATTTCCATCACCAAGAAAACATCACCCATACTCTTTCCCTTGTCGGAACTAGGAGAAGCATTGTTTTTTTTAGAGGACGTATCTTCGTGACTTTGCCAGTAGTCAACCCATACATTGGTCATGCACCCAAGAGAGGAACACGCATTGATTTAGGTGGCAGAGTTTGCACTGAATGTACTATTTATTATACTTTTGACTTTGGGAAAAGAAAGAAAAACACAAACAAATACAATTCCTCCCTGTCTCTCCAGGTTTATGAGTATGCACGGAACACTGTAGGTCCTGTGTCCTCATGTGTACCACACCCTCCTGAGCTCTAATTTCAAGTCTAATACTCCTTGTTCTACCACCTCAAAAATATTTTAAATGGAATAAATTAATTCTAGTTATGTCTCTTTCCTTTAATAGATCGTTTACCTCTCTAGCTGACATTTTCTTTTTTCTAGAACAGGACTAGTTTTTATGACTGTTTTTTTCCTATAGAAAATAATCAATACATAGAAAATAATTAATGCCACTTGGTGACTCACATCTTTTTTTGTTTTGACTTTTTTTTTATTAGTTTTAGGTATATAAAGCAATGTAATAGTTAAGACATTTACACCCCTCACAAAGTAATAAAACCCCCAGTCTACTACCCCTCTGACATTGTATATAGCTGTTACAATATCACTGACTATTTCTTATGCTGTACTTGACATCCCATGAAAATATATGTGTGTGTGTGTGTGTGTGTGTGTATGTGTGTGTGTGTATACTTAATTATAGTTGACATTCAATATTATTCTACTTCAGCTTCAGGTGTATAGTGCTGCATTGGTCAGGCATCTATACAGTCTATGAAGTGACCACTCCCCTATAAGTCCAGTGCCCATCTGGCACCTACATAGTCTTTACAATATTATTGATTATCTTCCCCATACTGTATTTCACAACCCCATGACTATATTGTGACTACTAATTTGAAGTTTCTAATCCCTTTTCCTTCTCCCCCATCCCCACACCCCTCCCATCTAGCAACCATAAGCTTTTTTTCCCCCTATATCTCTGAGTTTATTTCTGTTATGTTTACTCATTTTGTAGATGCTGATAGTCATCTAATGCCAATTAAAAGGGAGAGGTGATGAAAGCAGTTATTTGTGAATTGAACTAGACTTAGTAAAATTCCCATTTGTCATGATAATTGACTTGATTTAAAAATAGGTAAATCATTCTAAAATGCTTGTTCTTGTTTCTCTAGATGCAATCTTCCTCCCTTGTCAAGTGAATACACTAAAGATGTTGGATCCAAAAGTCATCTAGTGACTGCTAACCCCAGCATAATTCGGCAAAGGTAAGAGTTTATGACTTCTGTTGGTAAGTAACTGAAGAGGAAGGATTTTGAAGCATTTGACATCTTCAAGGCAGTGAGCATAACTCAGTTTGGGAAACAAAAAAGAAAACCATCTGGACAGGAAGGAAAGATAAAGAAGGGAATTGTAAATAAACTAGGCAGGATTATGGGAATCCAAACACTATTTCCTACTTCTTCTGGGATTCTGTTGCTTGCATTTAGTGATGGTAGAAATAACATGAGGATCCATTGTTTTGCTCAAAGAAGCAACACGATATCCTGCTTACTCATTACTACTATTTTCTAATTTGTTGGCTTCAGTCCCAACTCATTGATTGGCATTGATTGGTGAACTGAATTAATGTCAGTTTTATTAAGAATAAAAACAAAGAAATGACCAATCTACTGCATATGCATGCCTGAAAATAACAATATTGTCAGACTATACAGGAATGTATGATTATATGATATTATATTACATTATATTCACTCAGAATTGTGAAAGCAGAAGGAAAATTCTTGTTCTAGTATTGACTCCAGAAATCTTGGCAGCTGCTATGGAAGCTTCTGGGGGGGGGCGGGGTCAGGCTCTAGATGAAGCCCAGCAGTAAGCCATCCGCTGTTTCTTCAAGGACTGTTCATTGTGGAGAATGACTCAGTCTCTGAGAAAGAAAGAGCCAAACATTGTCGTTAGGCTCTCCTGTGTAGATAACAATTAAGAGTGAAAATCCAGACATCCTGGGCTCTGGCATTTGTCACCTAAGGAAGTCCCATCCAAGTAAACACCACTCATGTGTCACTTGATAAACAATGCTACACTACTTGTTTTGGTTCCTAAGTAAGTATTCCCATAAAATAGATGTCTAGAAACACTAGCAAACAATTTTTAATTTTGACAGATGTTGGAAATTACCCTTCCAAAATGTACTGTTTACTTTCTCTTCAGTGATGGAAAAAACTACTTATTTCCTAATAATGAAAACAACATTACCTACTACTTAACTTTTAAATTTTGTCAATTTGTTGGGTGAAAAATGATACACTATTTACTTGCTTAATATGTATTTTTTTCTGAATATGAGAAAGGTTGAGTGGTTATTGGCTATTAGTATTTCTTCTTCTATGAATTGCCTATTTGTATTTTTTTATTCATTTTGTGCTTTTTTAAAAATTTTTTTCTTGTTGATTTATAGGAACTCTTCATATTATAGATATTAAGCTTTTGTTTGCTGTATATTGGGTTGTCGGAAAAGTCATGATGTATTTTTTTCTATGTTTTGTTGCAAAAATGCATCATGACTTTTCTGACAACTCAGTATGTAATGAATGCTTTCTTATAGTCTGTCACATATCTTTTAACTTATGTCCTATCAGAATTTAACATTTTTTATGCAATGAAATTGTTAGTCTTTTCCTTTATGGCTTCTTTAAAAAAGAAATTCTGTTTTGGATGATCTTCCTTATTCACATCCCCTCCAATGTGAAAATATTATGCTATATTTTTCTAGTACATGTATTGTTTAATTCTTCATATTTAAGAAATTTAGTCCATGTGAAGGTATTTATTTTTATAACAATACTTTTATTGTTTTTCAAAAAATATAAATGTTCATTATAATAATTTAAAACAAAATAAGAAAGTACAAAGAAAAAGGTAAAACAAAATCACTCCAGACCTCACCATTGGAAATAACCATAATTAACATTAGGTAAACTTTTTCTAGATATTTCATATTCTTCAGAACTTTGAAACTGTTGTTTCATTATCTTCTTACACCCAGGGTTGTCTATTAGAAGTCTAATGGGACTCTATTTTTTGTTCGAGGGAGACCTTTCTTTCCTATCTCTATTAAAAGCTTTTACAAATTTCTTTTTATCATTTAAATTCAGATAGTTTACCAACATATATCTTAGAGTGGGCCTTTCAATATTAATGTTGTTAAGCACATTAATGAGAGGTTCTTTTAGTTGGAAGACTTGAGGGTTTAGTGTTTAAGAGTCTCTACTCTAAAGCAAGATGACTTGGGTTTTATTCCCTATTTGTCCACTCACCAGCTATATGAGCTTGGCTAGTTTACTTAACATTTTCTCCTTCAGTTTTCTCATCTGTAAAGCTGGGATAATAATACTTATATAATAGATTTATTATAGTGCAATAAATTATACTACATATGTGTGTATATGTATATATGTGTGTGTATATATGCCTATATATTGTAATTATATATAATGCTTAGAACAGTGCCTCGTTTAGCGTAAGCACTATATAAGCATTAGCTATCATTAGAGTTATTTATTTTTTTTTTATCTCTGTGAACATTCTTTCTCGTATGTGTGTTACATGCCACCGAGTTGGCTCCGACTCCTGGAGACCCTATGAATGAGTGATGTCCACACTGTCCTGTCCTCAACAGCCCTGCTCAGCTCCTGTAGGCTCATGTCTATGGCTTCACTCATGAAGTTAATCCATCTCATATTTGGTCTTCCTCTTTTCCTGCTGCCTTCTATTTTTCTCAGTATTATTGTCTTTTCCAGTGAACTCTGCCTTCTCTTGATATGTCCGAAGTAGGACAGATTAGACAGTGTCTCTCTTATATGTCTGATTATTTCTTCTTCTTCATTGTATTTTTTCTCTCTTTCTCCTATTATGTGGATATTAGGATTTCTGGATGTATTATCAATGACTTCTAACTTTTTTCTTGTACCATATAGTCTTATGTGTCTGTGGATGTACTGTGTCCCAAGAATAACTCCTTTCAGCTCATTAAATCACATTTTAGTTGTGTCCGTTCTATATAGTCTGCCATTTCCACTTTTTTAAATTGTATTTTTATTTTCTATAAGCCTAAGTATTTCATTTTCAAAGCAGCACATTCTTTTTCATGGATATGACATCTTCTTAAATTTCAAAACTTAATGGACTTAAAAGTTTTGTGTTTTTTTCTATATTCCAGATTTTTTCCTTTATATTTTGAATTTAATGCTACATATATGATTTGACTTTTGCAAAATTTGAATTTTAGCTTTCTGTTCATTTATGTATGATGTCTGGTACAGCGAATAAGGTATATTACTTTCATCATAAACAGTTTTTAAAACGTCACGGAAAACCAAAAATGCCAGACAAATTTGTGATAAATTAAATGAAAGACCAAAGATTAGCTTGATACTTAATTTTTTGTGTGGTTTGTTTATGTAAACTAATATAGAATGAGAAAACAAGACTGCACTCTCTTACAGTTTAGTTATTGACTCTCACTCAATTTTTGTACGTATGTATGTATGTATGTATGTATGTATGTATTTTTACGGGGGTCTGATCAGGAATATGTCAGAAAATCGCCAATGATGATGATGTTTCTTTAATTCAATTAATTGGGTTGGGGTTCTGGGGATCCTAAAAACATACAGTTTTTAAATTTGGGGTGAGTTTATCTCAGATTCAAGAGAATGAACAAAGGGGCAATAGACCTTATAGAAATATTTTTCTTTGATTGTTTAAAAGATGTTATTTTTAAATAATTATAGATTCACAAGAAGTTGCCAAAAAAGTATAGGAAGGTCCTATGTACTCTTCATCTAGTTTCCCCCAATGGTAACATCTTGCATAACCATAATATCATACATTAACTATTATTTTGAGTTGGGAATAAAAAAAAACTTTTAAGAAGGAATAAATGTTAAATGTTATTGTGGAGGGAAATGAGACATTAAAGGGCAAAGGATTCTGTTTTCCTACCTGAATATGTGGAGTAGGTGGTAAGATTTTAAAAGGAAGATGAATAAGAATATGTAGAGCAAGATTTATAGTAAGATGAGATATAGAGAGATTGAGATTGTGTTTTTGAGAAAAATTATGACAACTGCAGGAGAAAGGAAAGGGTAAAATATTAAATACTATTTATGAGGAATTGTAAACATGTTGGTTAAGACTTAAGTTCAATATAAAGAATTAATACAAGCGGGTGGCCAAATGACTTAGTTGGTTAGAGCGTGCACTCTGGACAACAAGGTTGCCAGTTTGATCCCCGCATGGGCCACTTTGAGCTGCATCCTCCTTACAAAGAAAAAAAAAAAGGAAGACTTAATACAAGGGAAACAAGAATCATTATGATTAATATTGGTCAACATTTCATCAACATTTCTATGTGCCACGTTATGTGCTCTTTATATGCATTGCCTCATTTAATTTTTGAAACAATCCTAATAGGTAGAAAGTATTTTAATTTGTGGATTTACAGAAAAAGAAAATGTGATATGGTAAGTTTAGTCACCTGCTCATACTCATAGCTGCTAGTAATCATTTTGGGACTTCACCCAGACATGTCTCAATCCAAATCCCCTGCTCTTAACCAGTAGTCATCACACCACCTGATCTTTCCAGATGACGCTTGTGTTCACAAGGAGACAGCTGAGTGTTCACAAGTGATAAATTATTTTGGAAAAGTGACTGAAAGTTTTTCCACTAAAAATGTATTCAGTGTAACAAGATTTTTGGAAACAATCAAATGTATATAGCCATTCCATTTTGTGAAATAAGGAAACAATATACCATTTACAATAGCATCAAATAATGAGATACATAGCAATTAGACAAAAAAACAAGCCCTTTATAGAAAAATCATGGAATTTTATTGAGACATTTCAGACAACCGGACTAAATTTACTGATATACCATGTCCATGACTGAAATTGATCTATAGATTCATTGAAATCCCAATAAGAACTCCAATAGCGATGTGTGTGTGTATAACTTGACAAGTTGATTCTAAAGTTTATGTGAAAATGCAGAGCCAAGGATATCTATGAAGCTCTTGAAGAAAAAAAATGGTTGGAGGAGTTTCCCTAGCAGATATTAAGACTTACAAAGCTCTTATAATTAAAGCAATGTGGTATTGCAGGAATAAACAAACTGACCAGTTAAACAGAATAACATCCCCCAATCAGATCCACATATTTAGAGACCCTTAATATATGACACAGGTAACATTGTGGATTAG